GGCTCTGGAGTTCAAATACAGGCACACTTACAACGTGCTCTTGGGCAAGTCACATCACCTTCCTGCCTCAGTTCCCTCATCTTTAAAATGCAGGTTAAGGGGCGCCTGGGTGGCTCAGTGGGTTAAAGCCTCTGCCTTCGGCTCAGGTCATGATCCCAGGGTCCTGGGATCAAGCCCCACATCGGGCTCTCTGCTCAGCAGGGAGCCTGCTTCCTCCTCTCTCACTCTCTGCCTGCCTCTCTGCCTACTTGTGATCTCTGTCAAATAAATAAATAAAATCTTTAAAAAATAAAATAAAATGCAGGTTAAAAGCGTACTCCCCTTGTAGATTACATGAAGCAATATTTTTAAAGCACCTGGGACAGTGCCTGGTACGTAGAAAGCACTCAGTTCATTATCATGATGATGATGAAGAAGAAGAAGAAAGAAGAATCCAAGCAAAATTAAGTTTCTTAAAAACATTTCACAAAGCATTATCATTAAACATACATATTCTCAAAGAAGGAATGTTATGATTAGGAGTAGTCCTTTAAAGATCCAGAAGCAAATAATATGAATGAAGTGAAACATACAATCTTCAGTCATAGAACCTCTATGGCATTTAAAACAGCAAGAGTGTACTCGGAGATTTTAAAATAATTTATATTTGTATAGTATTTTCCATTTATAAAGTACACTCACATAAATTATTTCAATTTACTGCCCTATGAATTTCATGAACCACCATTTTTTTCAGCAGCTACTACATACCATATGCCAGACAGCATGCTTTTTTCATATTCAGTACCTTATTTAACCTTCAATATCCACTAACTATCCACCAGATATTATCAGAGGCAGTAGTACAATGCCAAAAAACTGACAGATCCATTCCAGAAAGTAAGAGCCTCTTCGGTATCACCTATTAAGTGGGAATGACATGTTTGGATAAATAAATGAGATACAGCATTTTGCACAGTAGATGGAATACATCAAAGGCCCATTAAAACATTGGGTCTCCCTTAGCGGTAATACAGAGTTGTTTTGTGTAGAAAATATGTCACAGGTGCCTGGATGGCTCGGTCGGTTAAGCATCCACTCCTGGTTTCACCTCAGGTCACAATCTCAGGGCCCTGGGATCGAGTCAGGCTCTGTGTGCATTGTGGAGTCTGCTTAGGATTCTCTCACCCTCCCTAACCCCCCCCCAAAATAAATAAATCTTGGGAAAAGAAAATATATTGCAACCAGTTCAGCAAAGTACCAATACCATGATTTACAGTTTTGTTAAAAAGAGCAACCTCGGGTAGTGCCTGATATACTTTATACAGTTTCACAAATAAAAATATACAACAATTTTTGCAGATTTAAAGTCAGTCTCTACTAGAGGTAGTAGGTTGACAAGTTGAGACAAAACCAATTAAATAGTGAAATGTCTGTAAAGCATTTAATGTGTTTCACCCATAAAATTGCACAAAGCAATTTATGCAAGTCTCTTCTGAAGTCTTCGACAATCCTGTGAGAAGGCTAGGACAAGTGGAGATACTAATTCCATTTTACAGAAGAAGAAATTGAGGCTGAGAGAAGTTAAATACTTCAACTAAAGTCACAAAGACAGAATATGGTAGGGAAGGACTAGACTTGGGTTTTCAGAATTAGATTTAAGTACTTCTTGGCAGTTATCCACAATGTATCTCAGAACATCAATATCTCCTCCAGATCCTTTATTCAATAAACTTAAGGGGCTCCTGGGTGGCTCAGCTGGTTAAGCAACTGCCTTCGGCTCAGGCCATGATCCCAAAGTCCTGGGATCCAGTCCCAAATCAGGCTCCCCCTGCTGTGCAGGGAGTCTGCTTCTCCCTCTCCCTCTGCCTGCCACTCCCCCTGTTTGTGCTCTCTCTCTCTCAAATAAAACCCTTAAAAAAATCAATAAACTTAAGGCTAAAACAGCTTATATTTACTGAGCACTTACTTCTTATGTGCTTTGCTGTACACAATGTATCACATGGATTACATCTTTTAAACCTCAGCAGAGTAAGGACTCAAATCAAGTGTGTTTGACTTTCAATAAAACATTTATCTACCACAGTATAAATTAATACAATAGTGAATTTGGCTGAAGTATTTTTCTTTACTATTTAAGTGCACTATAAACAAACTCCTTCTTTAACATCCTAAATACATAAGAAATGGATTTCTGACCAACTTCACTATTCAACTTCACCATAAAATAAAATGGATATTATTTTCAACAATACTCAGTCTTCTGATTTGATTGGCATGATCCGACTTTCTCTGTAGCCTCTTATACCAGAAGATCTTTTAGGTAGAAAAAACAAAAATCAACCTGCCCAAGAATTCCATTCAATATAAGGAGAGAAGCAAAAATGTGTAATTCCCAGTGGCTTAAATGGACAGGTCACTTTCTGGCCTCATTCCAGATAATCTATTATTTAAGCACACAAGCTCTCAATACTTCAGTACATTTGTAAGACTGTAACATGGTTAATCCTCCTAAAATTACATATTACAAATTTCAACAAGAATAAAAGTAGGGTGATCACATTTTTATGTAGTACCAACTGGGACATATTTTATATGAGAGGGCCTCTATTAATAATTATGCCACGAAAAACAGGCCCTAAACAATGACTGTCACAGAGAAGACAGGGTATATAATCACTTATATGAAACAATCCATTTTGACTCGTATGTTATAGGCTATTCTCTGTATATGCTAAATCCATGAGCTTTAAGTTTTTGGCCCATATCTAACGATTATCTTCAGCCTTGAGATCAAAAACACCATTTTACAGACACCAGGCCAGAGTTAAGGGTGCTATCTATAAAAAACGTTTTTTAAGTTTTATTCTCAAACTTCACTTTATAGACGTCTGCTTAAAAAAGAAAAAAAATCTACATATTTCAAAGAAAGAAATCTTACAAATATCACCAAGTTTCAGACTATCTCTTCACAAGTTTTGAATACCAATAACTGCAAAACTACTTCTAAAATGGCCCAGTGCTGGGGCACCTGGGCGGCTCAGACAGTTAAATGTAGCCTTCCACTCAGGTCATGATCTCAGGGTTCTGGAATCAAGCCCAGTATCGGGCTTCCTGCCCCGTAGGAAGACTGCTTCCCCTCTCCCTTTGCTCCTCTCCCCCACCCCCTTAGAGCTCTCTCTTAAATAAAATGTTCAAAAAATAAAATAAAATAAATGGCCCAATTCTCAAAAACTATTAGAAACTATCAACTCACTTTATTATACAAAAGTTATAAAACAAAAAAATACCGTTTCAAATGGAAAAAAAAAAAAAAACTTCAGAAATAAAAACGCTGAAAAGTTTTCACTAAACCTAGCCAAAATGATAAATAGTGAAAATCCACGGTCACAATACGGTACAATAATGATTAAAGGAAATGCCAGATAGTATCGCTATCCAGATAGCATAGTATGGCTCTCCGGATGAATCTGGCATTAGCTGTATAACTTAAGGAGTCAAAAGAATGATCTGCTTTAATTTGTCAAAGCCTAAGTAAGTACTAACAGAACCATGCACTGAACCATAATATTTGAGCAAAAGGCCTTATTTGATATAATTATGATTCCCTAAGGCAATAAATGTTCCAAGAGTTGTCTTGTCTTAAAACTCAACCAAATCCAGAATTGGGAGGGATCTCAGAGTCTAAATTCTAAGCTTATGCTGTCCAATAAGGCAGTGACCAGCCACTTGTGGTTACTTATACTTAAATTAATTAAAATAAAATTTAAAATTAAGTTCCTCAGTGCACTACCCATATTTCAAGTGCTCAAGAGTCACCTAAGACTAGTGGAAACCATATTAGCACAGCAGAGATTACAGAATATTTCCACACGGCAGAAAGTTCTACAATGTTGGGCATTGTTGCTCTAGACTTAGGCTGCTTTAGATCTTTGCTTGAATATTCCCAGAGATAAGAAAGAAGTGCAATGAAGTGCATTCTCCTTTTTCAAAGTACCATCAAAAAACTGTTCTCATATTCAGTCAAATCCAGTCTCTCTGAAACATCCACCAGAAATTCCGGGAGTTCCGTCCTCAGTTTGGTCTTCAAGTAAATCTCTGCACGGTTAACTCAATTCCATTTCCAAAGTTCTGACTCTTGACATATACTAAAACCCTAGGTCCTTTCCTCCCAGATAAATACATAATTTCTTTCAAACGAAACAGTTTCAAGTTTGTATCAGCCTCACGAAGGTATGCTAATTTATCCAGTGGACATTAATAACACGTGTTAGTGTCGTCTCCGAGCTTCAGATATCACATTCCTCTGCTCCTATAAATCTACTCTCACTTATCGGACCTTCAAGCGTCTTGATTTTTAATTTGGAAAACAGGATCACAGTCATTCTGAACTTCTCAAAACATGGAGACTGAAATTAATTACACTTAACATGTAATCGATCGGTGTCTGGTGCCGTATGACCTTATATAACCCTGGCAATTCTGAGCTAGGCTATTGCTTTCCCCATCTACAGAGCGGAACTACCAGCCAAAGACAGGCTAACTGATTTCCCCGGGGGTCACAGATGTGGGCCCAACCCCAGAGAACAGAGTGGCGCTTTTCGTTTTCCCGGATGCTACACTTTTCCCAACGCTTCTTCCACCCTGCCCGTAAAGCAATTTCCTTCTGTAAAGATTTTTCCCAGCAAAACACTAGCTACATGACGCGCAAAAGGTGCCTAACACACCCCAGCCACGCCAGCTCCCCTCGCCCCACGCCCACCCGCCGACGGGGAGGAGTCAAGAGCCGGCTAGCTCCACGCTCGGCGGGAGGACCGGGTGCCGAGCCCGGACGGTGCCTCACACGACCGTCCTCCCTTCAGCCCTAGAGCGCAAACGCCCATTCCTCCCCCGCGGCCGCCCTTGGGCAAGGGCCAGGGCGGGGCCGGGGCCCAGAGACGCGGGGCTCGCCACGCGCCGTCCCTCCCGCTTCGCAGACCTCTCGCCGCCCGCCCCGCACCGCCCCCCGCACCCCCTACAACCTCTGCTTTAAGAACACTTGTAGGCACGGCTGCGCGTCCCGCGTGGAGAATGTGGGGAGAGAGGTGCGGTTTCTGCGGCGGCGGCCCGGGACACGCTTGGAAAGGGGCGGGGTGGAGGGCTCAGAGTGTAGAAAAGGAGAAGGTGGCTCGGCCGGGGCAGGGGTGGGGGGGGGCACAAAATGGCGTGAGCCCGACTCTCCGTGGGGCGGGGGCTGTGGAGACGGAGGAGGGAGTGCAGTAGACGCCCCCACCATTAGCTGCGCGGGCGCTGGCGCATGCGCGCTCGGCCAGGTGGCCGTGGTCTCCTTTCCAGAGCAAGCCACTTCCGCCACGCTTGCCGGGGGCGGGGCGTCGTGGAGCTCACCGGCAGCGGCTTTCCTAGCCCCGGGCCACCCTGGTCCCGGCGGCGGGCCTCAAAATGGGGCCTGCCGGGAGAGGAGTGGAGTTGAGCCGAGAATCGAAGGGTGCTGGAGGGCCTGGCCGTTCTTTAAAGCGTGGGCTGAGAGAGCTGGGGCGTTCGAGCGGTTGGGTGACCTACACTGGAAGTTTGTTTTCAGCTTCAGGGCAGAGATTGGCCTGTGTAAGCTTCTGCCTACGAACTGGGGTGAAGCGGGGTCTTCACCGGATTGTGCTTTTAGGATGGGGAAGGGAAACGGAGAGAGCAAAAAGACCCGCTCCCCGCAAGGTGCTTCTGGGACCTTGAGACCACCTCTTCCGCAGGCTCCCTAACACCACCACTCCCCGCCCTGCCTCTTGCAGCAAAGTCTTTGGAGAGGCGGTGGGAGATGATGGTCTATAGTGAATATCCCTCACTCCCACCGCCAGACTCATTTTACCAAGTTCAGGCATTTAACGATTTCAATTTTTATAATTGAAATCTTTTTCTGTATCAAGGGGTGGTTGGTTTGTTGTTATGGTTGTTGTTGGGTGATCCTATTTTTATCTTTCCTTAGAATTTTGGCCTGTTCCTAATTTTTAAAGCTTGCACCCCCACTGTTGAGCTGCCTGTCTTGTGCTCTCAGTTTGAGTGATATAGATGGACTTCTTTAATACGACAGTCAATTACTTAAGTATAGGAAGTCTTATTATGTATATTTTTAACATTATTTTCAGCTGTTTAGGAAAGAAAACTGCATTATCATCCATGCTTACATCCAGTCCTATGACATCAAATATCATAAAGTATTTCACAGAAATTCAACTACTAACCTTCATCAAGTTTTTGTGTTTTGTTTTGTTTTTTAAGATTTTATTTATATATTTGACAGAGGGAGAGACAGCAAGAGCAGGAGCAAGAGCGAGGGAGAAACAGGCTCCCCACCCAGCAGGGAGCCTGATGCAGGGCTTGATCCCAGGACGCTGGGATCATGACCTGAGCAGAAGGCAGATGCTTAACCATCAGAGCCATCCTTCAGGTGCCCCTTCATCAAGTGCCCCTTGATCAAGTCTTTTAAAGCATTATAGCTTCAGTTATTTTCTTGCCTATGAATATTTGTGTTCTGACATAATCTTTTCTTCTTAACTGCTTACGTTTTTTAAAGGAGCAACTTAAGAAAAATAAAAAATAAAAAAATAAAGTAGCAACTTATTTGAACATTTCCTCTGGGTCATAGTTGAGTCTACTGTTAATTTTGTACTTAGTTCTCTTTAATCTTCCCCAACACTTCACTATTTGCCAAATACTTACAGTTCCTAAATAATAAATATATTTAAGATGTAAAAGCTCATCATAATGTGTAAGTCAGGGCTTAATGCAATGCTAGGCAAAGTTTAGAGAATACAGAAAGGAAAGTAACAGAATTGTATTTCTTACAAAAGAAAACTGATTTATACAGTAGTTGAAAAGCCCTTTCAAGTATGCTACCAAGAAAATAATTAGGAGAAAATGAAGAGAAAAATTGATATTACATCTAAGGAAATATAACCCCAAGCAGATCGTTTCAATTAAAATTACATTCAGTTAATGCTGCCCTAGTACTTGCATGGGAGTTTTACCTGCATCACGTGGAGGCCAGATTTGACCTAGCTTTTCAGAATAGAACCCAGATCTTCTTACTCTCAGGCTACTGGTGTCCAACCTACATATAATCACACACAACAGGAGTTAATGAAAGTGAGCCATGGAAAACGGAAACTGAATTAAACCAGGCACTGGTAGAAGGAACTCAAAAATTCACTCTTAGGAAATTGCGAATTGTGCTGTTGGCAGAGATCTTAGCTTTGAAGTCACATGAGTTATCCTAGTGTTCCTACCTCCTGGAATCTATTAAAATCTATTTTAAAAATTTGATTTAGCCATAATTTTGTTTGTAGTTTGAGAGCACTGCTGTACACAAAGGGTCAAAATATCTTCCCTTAGATTAATATCAAATATCTTAAACTATTGAAGCTACTAGGGTACCTTAATTAAAACAAAGTTAAAACAATGAAGCTGTTGCTGTAATTAAGACATTCACAACTACTACCTCTCAGAAAAATACATGATTTCCAAAGCATGTGGAGAAAACACCAGGAGACCAAGTGAATGTAGCACACCACAAAAATGTCTCTATCCCTTAAACAGAGCTGTGAAAGGAAAATGAAGCATTGTTACCATAGACTTTCATATTCCTCTGGCATAATAACCTTCATATAGAGTTACTAGTGCAAAAAAGAAAGTGCAGATATCCAAGTAAAAATACGTAAAAATGATTAGGTTAGATAATGAAAGAAACCCTAATTCTCCAGATAGCAGATGCCATGCCTAATATGGAAACATCTCCATGATGAAGAGGTCTCTTCTCATGTAGATGTCATAAGGACAGTCCACTGCAGGTGACCTGCAAATTCTTACTCTTTTGTGATCCATGACTCTTATTTATTAGGATGCCTGAAGGAAGCTCTTTCTTATTTATCAATTATTTTGTTCTTTGCTCTCTCTGCCTTAGATTTCCAAATAGTGGCTTATAAAGTCACCATGGAAATAAACGAGGCAGAACTGCATATTGTTTAGAACTACAGATTGCGATTGTTGCTATATTCAATTAATTTGCTGATATTAAGAACTATTTTTCAATTCCAGCTTGCTTTACTTTTAGAACAAGTTATTCTGACCAAAAGGATTACTCAGTCCTCTGGTACCTGGGCAAGTGACTTAGCATTGTTGGGCCTCCCATTTTCATGTCTATAAAATAAGATGATCGAACCAAATGAATGGAAACCTTGTAGCTCTAAAATTCTATGCTTCTTTAAAAGGAATGACCAAAGAATGGTCATGTTAAATGTTAAAGTGACAGAAAATAATTTCAGCATTCAATATATTTGTGCTATCCAAAAGTATGGAATATTCAAGGCTCTCGGCTGTAGGCTGACATGGATACTCCACTGATACTACACACTTCAAAAAAAAGACCAACATGAAAAACATACACGAATTATATCTGCTGAAATATAGGAGAGGGGGGTGCATCACATAATTTTTCAAGGTGTAATCAAAATGGCTTCCCATACCTTCCAAATTACATTCATAGATTTCAAATTAAGAAGAGCAATACTGTGGGTGCCTGGGTGGCTCAGTGGTTGGGCCTCTACCTTCCTCTCAGATCATGATCTTGGGGTCCTGGGATTGAGTCCCGCAGGGAGCCTGCTTCCTCCTCTCTCTCTCTCTCTCTTCCTGCCTCTCTGCCTATTTGTGATCTCTCTCTGTTAAATAAAATAAAATATTAAAAAAAAAAAGAGCAATACTGTAATGAGAGAAGAAATGTTGAGAATTCCAAGCAGCTTGTAGAACTGTCATCATGATCCCTCCTTTTAGGAACCTCTCATTGCAAATTTAACACTCCAGGATCTTTTAAAATTAGTCCTTGGCTTCTGAGAAAGTGATCATATTTTGAGATTTAGAATGGGAATGGGAAAGGAATCATACACTATCAGGCTCTTCAAAGAGTCTCTAGACACATGGAAACTTCGCTGCTTTCATTCCCATGGAATCCAATATATAATCCTCTTGTTCTGGAAACAACTTCTACACTTCTCCCCTTGAAGATAAGGTCTATTTGCTGAGTTTAAGTGATGGGTGCTTATTAGTTCATTCATTCAACAAATAATTATTGTAGGCCTACCTTGTGCCTGACATTATTCAAGAAGCTGCAGATATAGCAATGAACAAAACAGACAAAAATCTATGCCATTATCAAACATAGTAGTAGTTGAACAATAAATGAATATTTAAATAAAAGAATGTGTTAGAAAGCCATGGGTGTAACAGAACAGGGGGATATTTTTATACACCAGGGAGGGGATAAGAAATGAGACAAAGCAGAGGAGGAACAGGAGAATTGTTCATTTTTGAATTAGGCAAGTAGGGTAGGCCTCACTGAGAAAGTGGCATTTGAATAATGGCTTGATGAGGTGAGGGAGGTAGCTGCAAATATCTAAAGAAAGAGATATCTGCAGATATCTCCAGACAGTGAAAACAATCCACGCTAAGGCCCCCCGAATTGGGAACAAGCCCAGTAAGTTGCAGGAATGGCCAGAGGCCTTTTTACCTGAAAAACAGTGGTCCAGGGGAAAAAAAAAAAGAAAAGAAAAAAGAAGTAGTATAATGTGAGGTCACAGTTACTAGGCCAGATGCTAGAAGACCTACATGCCTAGGGCAGGGAGGCTATTAGTAGAGGATTGACATGATATGATTTAGGTTTTAAAATAATTACTCTGGCTGCCAGGTTAAAAATAGTCTATAGAGCACAGGTCTTTTTGCAATAACCCAGGCGAGAGGTGATGGTAGCTTACACTAGGGTCATTACAGTAGACTCCATAAGACATGGTTAAATTCTGGATATAATTTCAAAATCAATATGATTTCCTGACAGATATTGGATCAGGGGTTTTAGAGAAAGAGAGGCATAAAGAATGACTGAAGTGTTCTGAGAAACTGGAAAATGAATTTACCATAACTGAAATGGGAAAAAGTGGGGATGGATATGTTGGGTAGGTGTAAGAGATCAAGAAATCACTTTGAGGGGCGCCTGGGCGGCTCAATTGGTTGAGCGACTGCCTTCGGCTCAGGTCATGATCCCAGACTTCCAGGATCGAGTCCCGCATCAGGCTCCCAGCTCCTTGGGGAGTCTGCTTCTCCCTCTTACCTTCTCCTTTCTCATGCTCTCTCTCACTCATTCTCTCTCAAATAAATAAATATATAAATAAAATCTTAAAAAAAAAAAG